AATGAACATGCCGCCTAATTAGAAGGCATTTCTTAGAGCGCTGAAATGGAAATCGTATAATCAATCTCTTTGCTATATTACATCATGACAGCTTCAACAGTGTTTTGTGTCTTCGTTTGAGATTAAAATGAATACATAAATAGATTTTGTTGTTTATGTTTCATTCATGTCGAGATTAATTTTAGGGATCGTCTGCTTTTATTTTGAATAACCTTTCTTGTTGTTTCCGATTGCTACGTTTAGTTCGTATGAATGCATAGTCTTCTTTGTAATAAAAACCATGGATATTTATAAAACTGTTATCAGATTTGTATGCAATTACATTCATCAGATATTAATATAGAATTCTTTTTTCTTTCTTCTGTAAAGTTTCCTATACTATAGTTTCTATATATACTATAGTCTATAGTTTCTGTGTTTTCACTAAAAAAGGATCTGTTTGAAAAATCACCTGAATCTAAAAAATGATGGGTGTACAGCAATAAAAAGAAAACATATTTTTCAAAGGTTATTCTTTGTGCTTTGTTATTTAATTTAATAATGGGGGAAAACTTTATGAATTGGGTGCTTGCACTTCAAGAAGAAGACCACTCATCCACACATGTGACGTCAGCGCCAGCTAGTCTTAATCAGCAAAATGGCGTAATAAAGTTGAGCTAAGTTTCTCTACATAAGTTAGAATGTTAATTAACGATAAATTAATTAAATGCAGGATCGTATCGGAGATCGAAATAATTGAAATATCAATCTATCTCGTCCACTTCTTTTATTTAACTCAGATTTATCGTTTGCTTATGTATTTTATTGTAACCGTGATATCTTTGTGCTTTGTGTACCTGGAAACTACGATGCATAATTAGTTTGTTTATGTTCCACATGGCTTCGTGCCTATCTTTGTGTTAAGTCTCTATGTAATTATATAGTGAAAAAATTAAAATCTTTGAGAAAGAATCTTTGTGAAAGAATTTGGAATGTATCAATTAAGAGAATTGATACTCGACGGGCTTGACTTACTCGAAATAGAATGGAAAGAACAGTTCTCAAAGAGTTCAATTTTTTCACTATATATAGCATGAAGCGTGGAACATAAATAAACTAATTATGCACCGTAGTTTCCAGGTACACAGAACAAAAATGTATCACTGTTGTAATAAAATACATAAACAAATAATAAATCTAAGTTGAGTCAAAGAAGTAGACGAGAAAGAATTATATTTCAACTAATTCGATCTCAATACGGCTCAGTATTTAATTAATTTATGGTTAATTAACATTCTAACTTATGTAGAGAAACTTAGCTCAAATTTAATACGCCATTTTGCTGATAAAGATAGAAAGTTACAATTGGAAAAAATTTCAAAATTGAAATAAATATCTTCAAGGAGTTTCAGAGATCAAAAGTTTTGACCACAGAAGAAAAACATAAAATATTCCTCAGAATATTCTATTAAAAATGTTATAAAATTAACTGATGCAATTTATTTAATCTTTGGTTTCAATTTAATCTTAAAATTAGATTACCACAGAATAAGTCAAAGCAAATAACAATAATGCAAATAACAAAGCAAATAACCTTTGCTACAATGACTAAAATGGCATTAAAATACTTATGACAGAAACATTATTTTATTTAAATATTTATGTACGAAGTTTAATTTAAATATTTTTATCTGTTGTTTAACCTAAAAATATTAAATATTTTTATCTATTTTTTTAGAAATATGTCTACACGTTAAATTTTACAAAGAAAATTTAATAAGCGCATTTTTCTCGAAATATGAATAAATTTTTTTAAAAAGAAAAAAAATATTTCACTGAGATTTAAACCAACTACGATAAAGAAAGGGGGGTGGGGAGCAGATCGCTAAAATTTGCGCAACTGTGACAACGTTAGCATTCTATTTAATTTTAAGTCCTTCAGTGGTTAAGTATCACTGGCTGTGGTCAGTGTGGATAACCACTTGGATCAGTCTGAAAAGAGACCAAGGGTGTGCTGTATTAGTCCTAGTTAAATTGTTCTACCTTATGGTGCTCGACTTCGCTCGCAGGTCGTCGGGCTATCGAAGTGGGGATACCATCCCCTCTGCTGGGGATCAAAATTGTGATGACATGTCTTCGGATCATTCTCAGGGATGTTTTTCAGACAGTGCACAATAACCCATTGAGCAGCTCTAGTGCGAAGTTAATAAACTACAATAACAACTATTTTCCTTACCTATACCCTTAGTAATTACCTACTGAGAAGAGCCCTGGTTCCCCAGTGTGGCAATGACACAGTGCATTGGAGAAGGTGCAATCCAAATCTGTGAAGATTGCTCATCTTCGGCTATGATGCAAACGCTTACTATACATTGTGGGGCAGCAGTGATTGCAACCAGCGGTGGGATGTGTTGATGAACCACATTTTATTCTATAATTTACTTGTCCTTTATAGAGACAATGAACCTACTTTTGTTATGCGTAACAAAAGGGAAGTCATACACACACACACATATATATATACGTATCAAACGATCAAACGTAAGGTGCTCCTTCCTGACTCAATTAGGACAACGAATTGGTTGGTGAGCTTGGCTTGTCTGATTGTCACTAGGAACAACAACAATTGGGCTATATGTACTAGAACTAGAATCGTAAAAACAATCCTCATTGCATTAGATATCCCAATGAACTAACTCATATAGCGTAGCACGCTTGTGCCAAATCACATATTCATGCGCTGATAGCATATGTTAATCTCAATTCCACTGTCTCTGGATAGTTTGTATTTAAATGTGTTATATTTGATAAATTTATTGTTATTATTTTTTTGATATTATTATTATAATCCCCTCTGCAGACGATCAAAATTGCGATGCCATGTGTTCGGATCATCGTCAGAGATGTTTCCCTGACAGTAGCAAATATACCATTGTGCAGCTCTAGTATGACCTAAATTAAGTATCGAACTAGATTAATTTATGAAAAGTGTTGAAACCGATTACTGGAAAAAATTGCAGCACGCATTTATTTAAAAATTTATTTATTAGCATAATGTTTAATTAAAACTGAAATCTTTAGGTTAAAAAATAAATAAATGAAATCAAAACATGATCGTAGGTAGATAGGTATAGTTCGTTCACCAGGAGTTGGCACTTGGCTCCACCTCCTCGGAAGCAGAGTTCATTTCAGCGCGGGGGAGTAACAAGAAAAACATTTCCCCGCTTGAAATCGAGGTAACCTCTAATGAGCGCAAAGCCTCCTCACGGTTTCTTATAGGTAGTCCAATCAGACCACTATGAAGGCAAACCAGTTTACGAAAGAGCCCTTTAATAGAAAATCTAGTAAAAATAAAAAAGTGGTAGAAAATATATGTCTAAAAATTTGTTTAATTTTTGAATATGATTAGTTTGTCTTATTTACTTGTCTACCACTACAGATTCAATTCTCAAATATATATGACAAATTCCTCTCAGTCACTTTTAAAATAGAATTTGGTTTCATGCGCTCAAACTGTTCACTTTTTAAATAGTCTGCGCAGACTACTTATAAGAAACCGTGTGGAGGCTTTCTGATGTAGAAGGTGATGGCCAAACACAAACAGTGAATTCTTTTTCAGTCACTTACTTCGCTTTATCATCAGCTATTATACCTTTCGTTATTCTAGCTAATTTATATTTAAAAACTTTTTCCCAGCAAAATATCTCAAAAAGAACAAACTATTCAATAAAAAGAGAGAAATATCAACAAGTTTATGAAATAAAATGCACATGTTCAAAATATGCACATGAAGATTGCGAAATAAATATTTTTGTCATACGATCGCCAAATAGCAGCCTTGTTCATATCTTTCTCCCCAAAATAGCGAAATAGTACCATCCGATACCACGTGATGAAGGCGGAGCCAAGTGTCAACTCCTGGTGAACGAACTATACTTTATTTACGTCTTACTGGAGCTGCACAATGGGCTATTAGCGATGATCTAGGAAACATCCCTCAGAATGATCCGAAGACATGCCATCGCAATTTTGATCCTCTGCAGAGGGGATGGCACCCCTACTTTGGTAACCCGATGACCTGCGCGAAGTCGAGCACTTTACGGTAGAACTGTTTAACAAGGACTCATAACACACACCCTCGCTCCCTAAGCAGGCTGATCAAAGTCGTCACACACCTGCTTACTGAACACAGCCAGTGATGTTTGACTTCGGTGTTCTACAGGGAACCGCGTCTTTACGACCAGTACAGTGCTGGAAAAAAAAATCAATAAAGTATGATACTACAATAAGTTAACATTGGAGTGTTTTGTTAGAGTAAGTCATTATTAAATTTTGATAAATTCTTTTTCATTAAATTATTTTTTATTAAATTATTTTTTATTAAATTATTTTTTATTAAATTATTTTTCAATTTATTAAAATAAAAAAAAACAAAAACAAATTGTTAATGCTAGGTTAAAATTTATCATTAGTCTTCAGAAATATAGGTTTAAAAATATTTAATTTAAAAACATTTTATAATTAAAGAAAAAAAAATCAAGTGAATTTTTCTTAAATACGTAATTAAATAAATTTGCTGTAAAAATATGAATAAATAAATGAATATAAAATAAGTCTTTAATATTTGAATTATAAGTTTAAAGTACGTTTTATAAGATAGTGAGAAATAAAGGTTTCTTTGCCACCGCTGGGGATTAGCAAGCTCCATTTTAATTTACTTTAAATTTCTTTCTTTGTCCGAAAAAATAGAACTTGATATTTTTGGAAACAGCACAATATTCATAATATTCACCTTTGAATATTCAGCTCAAATATTATTTGCTTATGTTTCTAATAAGGCAATTAAGCAGCGCGAGTATGTGATTGCAATGTTAAGAAAGAGAAAATTCCGCGAAAACTTAGCCGTTTCCTACTACTAGCGCCACGACCGGAGTGCAGGAACTGAAACAAGGCTGAACTTGATTGTAACCGTACAATAAGTTGCAGATCTAGTTCAGCCTTGTCTGAACTATTTTGGTTGGAGAGGTTATTTCTCAAATCAACATTAATATGAACCGAAAGAAGCAACCAGAAGCGTTTCATTGTTCCTGTATCTGCAATCAATAAAATTGTTTTTATTTACAGACAAATTTAAACTATTTCCTTATTCGTCTATAATTGTTTTAGCCTTTAAATTTTGTAATCTTAAACTTTCCAATGTGCCCAGATAATAATAACTTTTCTTTTGCATTGTTAAAAATTTTTAAACGGAGGAATATATGCTTGAAAATAGTGCAATTGTTATTATGATTAGCGGCTAGATCTGTGAATAGTTTTCATAAAAATGTCATCTCCAACTTTTAGGTTTGTATTTAGAAAGTCTAGTTGCCTTTGACAGTTTTTGTGAGCGTAGAGCTTGATTTTGTGGGCCTTCTTAACTTTTATTTTGGAATATTTTTTACTCTACACTTCCTTAAATAACGGAACAACTGTCCTTACTTTAAAAAAAAATAAATTATTTATTGATATATGTGACTATTTAATAAATTAACCTGACATTCAGTTTATGGCTTTATTGCACAACTTTTATAATTAGCTAAAGCTTTGATTTTTTGATGTTATTAGAAAAATATTTATAACTTTTTTCCTCAGGAAATTTTTTTTTTATAAACCTGATTTCAGGAAAATCAGCCTAGTTATAATTGTAGGATTGAATTCTAGGCGATTGTGAATTCTTTTTAGACTTTTCGTGGTATTTTAAATATTATTTTTCTGCAGTGTTCTTAGAAAAATGAATAACTTAGAACTCTAAATTTTCACTTGAGTTAATGTCTATAATTTTCTTTTTTTGGGTTTCATTTCTGAAAACAAATAACTCAACATTCTTTCTGTTTATTTTATACTTTTATTTGATTTGAAATTATCCTCTTGATGAAACAAGGCTATTGATGCTAGGACCTGGTTGAAGAAATTTAATTAAAATGATTTTTCAACTAAATAACTTTTATAGACGAAACTATCCTGTCAAAGAAATGATATATTGGTAAAATAAACTGGACAAGTAACTTTTTAGCTTTCTATCTTAGGAAATTTTTTAAGACTCTAATTATCAGCTGAACATTTTATCTTTTAAGGAAAAATAAGCTACTATTAAATAACAAACTTAAGATTTGGAGCTATGACACATTGTTGCATCCTTCCCCTTGAGGAAGTGTGTGTGTGCCAAGATTTGCAGTTTGGAAGCCACTGTTTTGGGATATTCTTAAATGGGTTTTTGATGTTTCACATGAAAAAAATTACATTTTAAGTTTTTAGTTCTTTAATAATGATTTTTACTTTTTTTTTAAACTTAACTCTCTTTTTCATTTAAACAAAGAAATCATATGGTTTAAAATGTAAAAATGAATTTGAAAATTCTAATTCTGTCCTATATAAAAATAAAATTAATTTTCATCATAGTAAATTTATTTAAAATTATTTCTAATTCAAATAAAAGTGTTAATGCTGGTTTAAAATAGGTAATAAAGTTAATATGCATTATGTGATAAGGAAATTACAGGTTAATTAAAATTTAGTTTAAACTTTATTTAAACCTATTGCTATATTTTTTGATCAATAAGTCAACCTTTGATTTCTCACTAGCCAGGAAACAAATTTTGAACCTCTGTAATGATTCTGCAAATTAAGTGTTTAAAACTGACGCAGATAAGATATTAGAAATTTATGGTATCTACTCAAAAGATGTATTGTATAGTATGCTATAAATTTTATTTTTTGTTTTGTAAAATTTATGTTGTGTTGTAAATTTGTCACTATTTTGCGCTGAAATTTATGGATTATAGATTAGGTAAACTTTTTAAACTAATTGTTGCTTAATATACTTTGGTAAAAAAAAAAAAACAAAAAAACTTTGAGTTCAATTATGTTTATTAATCTATCAATTCCTAATTTCATTCTGTAAAATGGTGTGCATAAATTTATATTATATAAAACATAATTTAATAGTTTTAAATTTTTTTAGATTTGATCTGCTATCTACAAGTACATTTACACCTCTTACCAGTCACTTGCCAGTTTCAACATGGAATAATACTGCACCTTTGAAAAATATACCTTTAGATTCCAATTTAGCATGGCTACTTTGTGCTTTAGTAATGGCTATGAGCTGGGTAATATATATAACATATTACAATTCAAGAGTAATTGGCTTCATAGTAACCAAAATCTTGAACCATTTTATGAAATATGGATACGTTAAAGTAGGTATGATATATATGTATCCTTTTCTCTTTTTTTTAATGTCCCCCCCCTTTTTTTTTAGTTTCGTAGAAGCCACAGAGCATGTTAGTTATATTAAAATAATTTAACAATAAATATATTATCTCAAATTATTTTTTTGTAACTGATTTCAATTGCATTTCTAATTTAATTGTTATTCTAAAAAAGGGGTGGAAATTAGGGTTCTAAATATGTTATTGTCAGCTATATTATATGTTACTCATTTTTTTGTCAACTCTGTCACTAAATAAAAGAGATTTAATAAAGAAATGAAATGCATAAACAGCTTTCTGCTGAGTCTTTATATCTTAAAGCTTAGCTTTAATTACTAAAATTATAAAAATGTCACTTAGAACTTTCTTTTATTAAGGTCTTAAATCATGTAAACATTTGCTTAATCATAGAAACATATACTTATCATACATGCTTAATTTTACAGTGGCATATTTTAATACCATTATATCAAGCAATTTTTAAGGACCCATGACGAATTTCATGCTAAATGACAAAACAAGACATGTCATTTTAGCAATAATTTGTTTAATGTACTAAACTGATCCAGCATGCTAAATCCAAATCCATACAAAAATAACGAAAGAAAATAATTTAGAGAATGCTTAATCATGGCGAATTTTATCCTAAATGACAAAACAAAATATGTCCTTTTAGCAATAATTTGTTTAATGTACCAAACTGATCCAACATGCTGAATACAAATTCATACAAAAATAAACTAAAGAAAATAATTTCGAGAATGTTTCATTAAGAGCATTTAATAAAAATGCTTTCTATACCTATTTATCTTTACATTGTTATCAATTCCGTTGAGTAAGTTCTGATATTAAGTATACTTTTATTTTCACTAAAAATAAACTTTTTAAAACTTATAGGATTAGTTGAAATAAAAATTAAAGTTTACAGAATAGATATGCATTGTTTTTACTTATTATTGTTCATAAATTTTTAATTTCTACATTATTATATTTTCTAATAACTTATTATTTCTAGGATCATTGTCTATATCTGTACTTTCTGGAAAAATTATGTTTCGCGATGTTGCATACATTACAGAAGATTGCACATGGAGAGCGCAGGATGGTTGGATTATTTTTAGATGGTGGTATCCTTATGTTCGCAAAGAAATAAGTGAAGGTATATATTTTCATAATACTTGGGAAAAATTCCTACCATATCTATCAAAATTGTTTTAAAATTATGTAAAACTCCTGTGGCAATTCATAAAAGTCATTTAAATACACATTTTTCCTAAAATTCAACTCTATAATGTAAGCTTAAAGAATTTTACTTGTGATCTTCTTAGTTTATAGACAAATAGTATTGAATATCATAGTAAAAGTGCTTATGCAAAGTTACTGTAGTACTGAAAAAAATAATGAACGTTAGATTATTTGTATGTTATTGTCATGCTGATTGCAATTTATGAAATCTAATTATGTACGTCTAGCAATTGAAAATTATCGTGATATCTGTCTTTGTTTAGTAAATGTCTTACTCTATTAAAATAATGTCCATTCCTTGCTTAATTTTAAAGAAATATTTATTTAACTTTTTTGTATCAGGTATTGTATCTGTATTTTTTTGTTTCTATTTCTGTAAAACTGTTTCAGGATTGGAAACTTAGTTTTGTTAGGAAAAAAACATTCCTTTAAAAATTGTATGAAACATATTTAAGTAGTGTTGATCTTAGAATTAATTTCCTTGAATCTCTAATCAATTTTGATAATAATATTTCCTTGAATTGAATCTTGTGTTTATGTTTTGGGCTTTCAAATGTAAGTGTGGCTCAGCCAGTGGATAATTTGTTTAAATTTTGAAATCTTAATTTAACTAACTTCTAAATTGAGTAAACACCAAAATTATACATCGTTGAAGAGGTCTTGAATTAAATATAACAAAAATGAAAAAACTCTCAGAATTAATTTTTTGAAAGTTTTAGGGGTACTGAAAGTTTTAGGGGTATTTTATTTGATATATATATATTAGATAAAGAGCTAAATCGGCAGTTTCTGTTCTCTCTTTGGTGATGAAATAAGAAAAAGGTTATATTATATCTTTTAAAACCAAAATTCAATTTTGTTTTTAAATTCAAAATAATTCAATTTTGAAATTATTTTGATGTTAAATCTTCATGATAAACCTGAGCCCAAAGAGTACTCTAAAATAATTGTTTAACATCTTTTGTCTTCTTCAGATAAACAAAAGTTCTAATCCCCTTATCTAGTTTAATAAATCTTTATTTATTTTGTTTGTTTTTCCCTTATGTTTTTGTATTAAATTCAGTTTGTTACATCATTTGATATTGTTACCCAGAGTTCTTATTGTTATTTGTTCTTGGAGATGTATCCAATTCATCCATGTGCTATTAACTTTTTATTGAATTCAATTCATAATTATTTATATGATACAGGGATAGAAAGTAAGAAAATTTAATCATTGTTAAGGGCCAGTAACTAAAAGATTTCACTCGTTCTCACAAATATTCACATGCTTCTATTAGTGTAGAAAAAAAATTATACCTAAAAATTTAACAAAGTAAGAACATTTAATTACTATTCCTAAAACCTGTAACTAAAAGATTTCACTCATATTTAAAATTTTGTAAACTAAGTAATTAATACAAATAAAGCTTTGTATAAACTAAAATTAAATCATTATAATTTAATAAATGTGTTAAATGTTACATATTTATTAAAAGTAGATTATCAGGGGTCTGTCTAGCTTTTTCTGAGAGGTACCTATTTTGTGAAAATTTAGACATAATTTGTGAAAAATTAAAAATTATATTTAAAAATCCAACACAAAAATATGGCAAGAATATGGATTTATCATTTCTTAAGGAATACAAATATAAAATTTTAAGAAAAAGTATTTTGTGAAACTACTCTTTTTCCTAAAATTAAATTTGTGAAACTACCGTTTTTCCTAAAGTTAAATTTGTGAAGGTACCGCTAAACGGTAGTACATTCGGTCTGGACAGACCCCTGATTATTGCGTACAAGTATTTTACTAGTACTATTTACTATAAGTTGATTGTAAAAGTTAAAAAAAGGAAGTTATTAAAGCAAATCAAGCATAAAATCATAGAAAGTGTAACATATATATTTATGATGATATACCATTTTGATACAAAAGAAATGGAGAAAACCCCAAATCCAAAAATTAAACTAGCATGCCATATCTTTACACTTGATTTTCTATGATTGGTTGCTGGTCCAGTGGGTCACTGATAATTATATTATGGTGGTCTAAGTCAGATTTTATTGGTCCATGACTAACGGAGTACCAATAATTTTAAGCTGTGTCAATGTTATACATTTAGTTGAAAAGTATAATGATGCTAAATTTTATGTTAAAATCTTATGCAATACATGTTTTATATTTCAGATTTATCTCATTCAGACACTAGACTTTCAATACTTTTAAATGGATTTGAATATCATCTCTACAATCGATCACAGCTCTATTCCCGCTTAGAACACTTGTTTGGATTGGACCCATCAGTTATCCCATCTGGATCTGAGCCTTATTGGCAAGACTCTGGTGGAGAAGGGGATACTCAAACACCAGTGGATAAAAATGAAGAGAATGAAGTCCCGAAATATGAATGGCGGGATTTAATCCCTGTCATTAAGGCAGAGATTTCCACTGTAAGTTGGATATAAGTTCTTTAACCCCTTAACAATCGGTTCATTTTCAAGAAAACAGTCATAAAAGTGCCTATTTTTTTTATCCCTGAAAATTATATAAAAATATGTGTATGAACAATATATATATTTATTTTTAATTTTCGATTTGTTTTTAGCTTGAAATTTTAAGAAAATTAAATTTTTAGGAAAGGCCAACGTTCTTATGACTTAATGTTAGTTTTCTAGCAATATATGTTTTAAACATTAGAAAAGAATTTTATTAAACTTACGTATAATATAAATAAAGATTAGTAATTTTTTCTTGTGTGATAAATTTATAAGCATGAGATACAGAGGCCAACGTCACAATCTGGGCAGTAGTACCAAGTTTCCTTCCTACATCTCTTATTGTTTTCATCTCTTCTGGAGCAGCAAACTTTGCAAACTATTTACGATTATCTTAAAAATATCCTGGTACTGCCATCTGGTGAGTAAAATGAGAGATAAAATGCTTTCCGGGCAAGAGAAATGAATTAGTTTCTGGAGCAGCAAACTTCGCAAACTATCTACGATTATCTTAAAAATATCCTGGTAGTGCCATCTGGTGAGTAAAATGAGAGATAAAATGTTTTCCGGGCTAGAGAAATGAATTAATTTTATTCTTATTGGCGCTTTACTACTGAACACTCCAGCCCGGAAATATCACGGGAGCAAGAAAGTAAGTAATATGTTAAAATGTGCTTTCAAGTTATCTGTATTGATTTCTTAGTAATTGAGTTTTATATTTTGTCGATATTTTTGTACATTTTTTACCAAATAATCGTTAATTTTTTTTTAAAAAAATGAGTTCTTGTTACTTTCTTATACCTGAATTTTTCATTCTAGATTTTCCTTAATTTTTTATTTCTATGGAATGTCTCTAAAACATTTTAGAACTTCTAAATGGGGTAGGATGAGTCCTGACAGCTCAAAATCTCATAGAGATGCAGGGTCGGAAATGCTTTTTTGAAGCAGTAGATGGCGTTGAGATTGCTCAGAAGCTGGCTGTAAGAATCGAAGTATCTGCCAGAGCAGGGCTCGAAAAAACTCAGAAATTTTACCCGTCCCCGAGGACGGCTTGTCCAACAATGCACCCGTCCTCCGTTGAAACTAACCTGTCGCTTTTAAATAAATAAAAATATAATTTTCTCCTATTTATTGCAAACATTTATATAAATTGCACAATGAATTAGTCGTTACTAGGATTACATTATACAGTAATAAAAGAAATACTAGGTTACTAATAGTAACCTAGTATTTCTTTTATGAAATAATTTAAATGACAAGGGTCAAGTTATCTGGAATGTCAAGTTAACCGAGGGTACTGCGTTTCTTAAATGAATCAAATATGACGTTTGCCAGTTCCACAATCAAGCCAATGATTTACAGAGGTTTCTGAACAGAAATCTGAAAGGGGTTTTCATTTAGGTAGGTGCTCATAATTGCTTTTAAAGCTTCTTGTTTAAGACCAGTACGTATTGTGTTTGTTTGTAAGTTTATTGCTGCAAAGCCCCTTTCAACCGCTGCAGTACTCACAGACAGAGAAAACATCAATATATGCGCAATATGTTGCTGTCATTTTGCTGCCTTGTAACTTACAAGACTCTTGTAAGATAACAAAAATTGAAAATGTATCACGAACATTAACGGAAAATGGCTGTCCGGGCGGACGTCGGATTCGAGAAATTCGTTGTCCGCGGAGAATTTTTGACCGTCGAGGACGGGCGGACGGGCTGTTTTTCGAGCCCTGTGCCAGAGTAATTCAAGACAAGCCTGTATTATCCCAGACTATTCAAATTTCTTTGTGCCGTTGATGATAGGTCTGTATTGCAGTCAGCAGAAGAAACTTTTAACATTTTCTTTGATCCATGTTCCTTCTTTGGTACATTTATTATTAAATAATAAATTCTCCTATAATTCTTTTCTTTATGATGTTTTTATGTACATCCTTGCTTCAGGAAAGCATCTCCAACCAGCATTGCTATATGATTTCTAGTCGGCACCTTAAACCTCTTAGAAGTTCCAAAATGTTCAACTGAGGCTCCCTGTGTACTTACCTATGTTTTTTTTCTTAGGGTCGATTAGTATTTGGAAATCGTTTACTACCCACAACATTATCTGTGAATTTTGAAGAAGCCCATATTTTATATACCACCAAACCAGCATCATCTAGATTAGATAATTTCACCCATATAGCTAAATGTAAAGCAGAAAACTTTAAAATTATTCTGGCTCCAAGTCCAAAATATACAGGTCTGAGTGATGAACCACCCCGCTACATGGGAGAAGGTTTTGTTGTATTTCAATCCAATTTTGTGGATCTCTATTACTATCAAGATGAAGCAGGTATTATTTTTGATATTGTTTAAGCCATTGATGTCTATTAAATATTTAGAAAATCTAGTTTCATCTATGCCACTAAACAAATAAAAGAGTTTTTTGAAAACCGTAAAAAAATTATCTTAAAATAAGAAATTTTTTTAAAAAAATATCAAAATTCATTGAATTTATTTTTTAAAATGTCATTTTTGATAATACTTTAGACTTAAATCACCAAGTGCAAAAGTTTACACAAAAATTCTTGTATTTGTTAGAAGCATCTGTTTATTAATTTTTACTGGAAATTTAGGATATTCAGTGTCATAACATTCTGCATTTATCATTTAAGCGTTTTTATTAAAAATACATTGTTTATTTTATATATTATTTTATTTTTATATTTTATTTTTATATTTTATTTTTATATTATTTTATTTTTATATCATTTTATTTTTATATCATTTTATTTTTATATTATTTTATTTTAATATTATTTTATTTTTATATTTTATTTATGTATTTATATTTTTTTAATGAAAAACATAATTGAATAGATGATGTCAAATTTAAAATCAGTCAGAGTTTTGTTCAAGTTTTCTAACTTTTGTGACTTATTTCCTTTACACTTTTAGTACCACAACACTTTTCTTCTAAATACCACAGATCAATAGTAGTGATTAACTCTCATAAAATTTTTTATTTATGAAAATATGATTTGGTATCTTGTCAGTTTTTTATTGCAACCCCTCTTTGTACTGAATGAGTTTGTTTAAACTTGCGAAGTGTGCATTTAAATAAAGATGGTGATATGATATTAACAAGTCAGGCTGTTTTAAAAAATGTAATTAAAAAAATTTATTATTTGTTTATTACTTGTTTTGTATTGCGCTATCCTGTGTAATTAATAAATATTTCTCTACCTTTATCTGACGTTTTGATACTGAGGAAAGTTCTTGTTTATAAAAACTGAAACATATGTCAATTTATGTTCTTTTCTTTGTGCTTTATTCACGTTGTTTATTGTTTTAACCTTCTTTTATACGTACGATGATGTTTAGGATGGTTAAAAATTCACCTCACAATTACTGAAAAAAAATACTAACATTTCTGATAAGAATTTTTACTTAATAAATCATAATTTTTTTAAATTTAAATTTTAGATGAAGGATTTTCTAACGTTTCATGCATGTTTTCACTATAATCCTTTCAATCAGTTTTAGTTTAATATTCAGTTAATGATTGTTAAATCAGTTTTACTTTGAAATGGATTATTGTATTATTCTCATGGATAATAATGGACTTAATTTAAATGTTTATAAAAAAATTTGTATTATTATTGAATGTTTTAAACTTAACTGAGCCATTTTTTTCATCATAATACATGGAATGACTCTTATTTTATTGTTAAAGGGTTAGTGACAGCTGAGCCTGAAATGATAGAATTAGCTGATGGTGATGTGGTCCAGCGGTCAACAGCTCCATTGTGGGGTTTAGATATCAAATGTGGCAAAGGAACTGATTTCAGCTATGGACCATGGGCAGATCGCCAAAGAGAACATCTTTATAAGTTTTTCTTTCCTCAAGTATAAATGATTATATTCTTATCTTGTAAATTAAACTTGTTTCATTTTTTCACTTTTTGTATTATGAGAAGAAACTATTATGTTATATACAGGGGCCAAAAAGTCCCTATTCTAGTTGCTATTTCACCTAAAAAATAGTTGTTGTTGTCAACCCTCTTTTCTTAGACTTGATTATAGTTTACCTTCTTTTTTTTTAATTCAAAAATCAGAATATTTTCTTAAAGAAAAATCTTTCGAACTTGGATGTCATAATTTTTTATTCTAGGTTCACATATTTGATTTGTTTATTTTGATTTATGCCTCCTATGAAAAGTACTCCAGTACTGAATGATATTGCAGGAGGAAATAACCGAAATTAAGATTCAGCAATAGTGGATTGATTTTATGGTGTGATTGATTTTTTTTAAAGAATTTAAATTGTTTAAAAATCGCGTAAAAAATTAATCATGCACAATGTGCCCATGCCAACCATGCACATGAAAATCCTGAAAATACATCATAAAAAATGTGCATTAAAATTGGTGATTTTATGTAACAATATATGGAAGTAATAGTTAACACAACATATTACAAAGCTAAAAACCACAAACAATTTATTGACTGATAAAATAACTCTTATTAAGATATCCCACATCTGACCACTGTATAAAATAACTAAGGGATCCCACACCCTATGCACTGCACTTGCCAGCCTCCAAGATTGCTTTTATTTATAGTTTTTTTTCCAGATTATTTTGCTCTTTTCTATATTTTTGCCCAGTTTTCAATAAATGCGGGTATTCTTTTTAAAATAAAAGTTTCAAAATATTCAATATATTGAAGCATTTGATTATAAACATTTCATTCAATTTATTATTTTAGCCAATGATTATTTATACACAATTGGCAAACATTTCAATACTATTGAGAAATTGTATTTTGAGCAAATAATTCATAGAATTTCTTTATATACAGAATTATAAGTTTCAGTGTTTGGAGACGCAACAGTTCCTAATATAAACTCGTAAAATGTACAAAATCCAAGGGAAAAAGTAAGAAAATGAGGAAAAAGAAGCATATGTGACAAATATTCATTGATAAGACCATTTCTTTCCTGCTTTAATTATATAGTATCGTTAAAACTAAAATATAACTTTAAATTATTATTGACTGGATAAGTTTATAAGAATATTTAAAACAAAAATATACCTCATCCAGTTTGTTCTTATGAACTGCTCGGTTTTAACATTTAATTTTGACCTGACTTATGGTTCAGTTAGTTTCAGATTTTTGTTGCCCACATGAGAAATAATTTTCTTTCTTCAGAATTTATGTTTCAATATTCATGCTTATGACTGCTCTCTCACTTAATAATTCAGCTCTTGGTAGTCAATGTAAAAAGAGAAATTTCATTGTTTTTTTTAACAATATACACGCATATAAGTGCTTTATATACTAACATCAATATTAAATTTAAAATATTAATTGTCTGTATAATTTCATGAACCAAAACGTGATTATGCTCCTGTCCAGTTTATAATGTGCTGGGTTCTCAAAGATCAAGCCTGGCTCCAAAATTTTTATTGACCTTTGGTTTTGCGTTTTGAATTTATTTTCATTAAAATATTTATTTAAATTTATCCCATTTTTTAGTACCCCTGAAAGTGTAGATTTCTTCTAATTATAATAATTTTTATAAATTCTTTTAGGATTATCAACCATTAGTTCCTACTAAAGAGAGTGCCGTGGGTGAGAAAAGATTCTGCGAAAGTTTTGATATTCGTCTCAACACTCTGGCTGAGGCAACAATTGATATATTATTTTCCAAAGAAAAAGTAATTTTTAATTTATCTAAAAACTGAAATATAAATGTTTTAAAACATGTTTTATTGTTATTATTTTTTATTATATAAATTCAAATTTGTGAGATACCTGCTTTTTTTCCTTATCATATTTTTAAAAAGCACTATACAGCTCCATTAATATTAAAACTTTTCTAAGTTTTGAAAATTTCTTCACATAAATCTGACTTTTAGCCGTTAAACTTTACATTCAATTCAATCCCTTGAAAAGAACATCTTATCTTTCTTATCTTGCTTTTTTATCCCTTTAAATTCATTTTTGGTTGTCTATGAAAATTTCAGGAAATGTACAAATTTGATGCCTCTTAAAATATTCATCTTTATGTAATGCATCCTATGTAAATTCAAGCTGGCAGACCTTTATTACAATTTCAAAATATTAATTGTAAATATTTGTTTGGAAGGAAACTAATGCAGTGCACATGAATGTTGGTCAAGGGTCATACTTGGAAGTGACCATCCCCATGCGCATTAACAATGATGGATATTCAACTAAAATAAATGGTCAACTGTTGCACCTTGAAGCTTCAACTAGTCTGCAGTTTAGATCATTAGTAGAGAGTGAAACACTAGAGGTATGAAAATATTTACTTAAGTCCTTAATATATAGATATTAAAACATTTCAGATAATTATTCTTAAACATTTCATTTGAAGGGTTTGTTTTGAAAAGCTAGTGACTCTGTTTTCAGGTTTTATATGTTTTGTATAAATCAGCCAATTGCAAGAATACCAGATGTCCAAAAAATGTCTGAAAAAATTGGAGAAATAAATTTATAAGAAACACACAATATATATACAATATATATATTGTATATATATATTTTTTATCACTGTCATAGAACAGCTGACCCGATTTTGAGTTTATGACTACTTATGTTGAACTCTATTGGAATGCCTTGTAATGTTGAATCCAATCCAGAAGACAAACAAACTCCTGGATTAAATATTTGAAGAAATTTGTTTTTGTGGAGGATTTTTCAATAGATCTAGCCCCTATTTGTATTACATGGAAAGGAAAACCGCAAAAACCTTCCACAGTTTGCTTGAAAAGGGACTCTAACCCTTGATCTGTCTACCACTGAGGGTATTTTATGTCAACACTGTGGTTGGTGCAGGCCAGGCGCAGATTTGGTATTGACCAGCCATCACAGGGATTTGAACCCGGGTCACCTCATTGGTGGCGAACGTTCCATCCCCGGAGTCACCACGTCTGAAGACAATATTCTATTGTTCTTTGAGTTAGGCTTAGAAAACGAGTTTTTATCCTAACCAGATTAATTAGTTATAAATTTTGTCAACAAATTGTGCTGTTTATTTTAGAAGCTTTAAAACAATGATTTCTGCTGCATGTTAAAACCATTCCAACTGAAATATTTACATGGGCATCTGCTAATTCTGTCCCTAGACTGTAACATTTTGCTGTAAATGGTGATTGCTTTTAAACTATTGATTTTAAAGTTAGCTTTTTTCTCAATTAGCAGCAACATATTTTTGACTAACTTAGTCATTCATTTTGAAACTAAGTGAGAAAAATATCTGGTTTCTTAAATAGGATACGACAAACTTTACATTTCTATCAGCTTCTGTTATTGATTTTTTAAATCCTCATTTATTTTTTAAGCACCTAGTAAGTGGTGAGTGATGCAATGCAATGTGAAGCGAAATTTTGTAATATATATATATAATTCTCTGTTACTTTTCGGTGCAATTAATTTTTTTACTTTTTGGCCATGTGCAAATGTATGTGTTGTTTTTTTATTCATTCAACAGCTGTTCTCATTTTTGGGCATTATGAATACAACAAAATTTTTGTTAATGTTTTTGGAAAAATCTATGAAATGAAGTATTACATTTTTTATTCTATATATACAAGAGCTTCATTTTCATTTGCTGAATCTATCCTTACAGCTTTTTAACGTTATGAGTAAATAAAGAACTTTTGTTTTTTATTTAGAGTATCATTTGATACTCTTTACAAGCTTGACATTTTCTAATAAATTTATTTTACTTGGTTCATTTATTTATGATTTTACTCTAACTTTTTATTTAAAAATTAAATGATATTTAAGTTTTTTATTTTAAAAAGTACATTCATTTATTAATTTTGTTTTCTTTTTTTCAGTTTGATATCTGGATTAAATATCCTAAAATATGGAATGACCACCAAATGTGGAACTGTAGTTTAACAGGATGTAAAACTACAGTACATTTAATTTATGCTCATAAACATTTTTTTCATGGTAAGATATTATTAATTTTGTTTTAGAAGAAAAAATTTACTTACATTGAAGTTTCTATTAATGTTAATACAGTTGAAAAATAATTTCATTCATTAATCTGAGTTTACAGTAAATATTTTTTTTTGATAAGATTATAATTTTTAAAAAAATATTTTCTCTTTTTGAATATGATGTTTATCTCTACAATATTTCAATTAGTTCATACATATTAAAGTTTTGAATCAATTCGATCTGTGAATGGATGCATGAATGGGTCCACAGCTTAAAACGGGCTGTGATGTGTGTGTGGCTCAAGTCGTATTCTCGACCATAGCTGGCCTCACTAAAAAACAAGAAATGTGCCCTCTGCCTTAAATTCGCTTGGTTTCACCAAGCAGGCTTGCTGGTAAATTTGGCAAGTAGCATTAGAAACAACCAGAACAATAAAGTTCTGAATTGTTAGAGTGAAGTGGATTCGATGTGCATTTGGAATCAAGCAGCTGCTAAATAGTATGAAGTTATCCTTTTGGCAGCAAATTAAAGTGCAGCAACAAAGCAGTTTAAATGAGCGTTAGAGATTTAAATTTTTTGGCAATGGAATATTGTGAACAAGAAAAAATTATGTTTATTTCTTATTGTCAATTAATAAACTTAAAAGCTTATTTACGTGAATTCACTAAAATGTCAATTCGAGCCCTTATCCACTCACCTCTTCACACAATTAACTTCTAATTAACTTAAAGACCAAAATTATGCATTACTTAACCAAGCATCCCTAATTGAAGCTTGCTAGTTGGAAAAAAATGGCCTGGTATTCTCACATCTAAAGTTCTGTTGCTCGGATGACTATGCGAGAACATACTTTGCGATTGCAACATAAAAAAATTTTGCTACTCTATGTTGGCATTGTCTATCTTCCATACATTCCTCCACCACTCAGTCCCTAATGTCGCATTCAGTTACTTCCACCTGTTTTCGGTATTAAAAAAAGAATCTCAGCAGTAGATGCTTTGAAATCAGTGCTTAAGTCACACAAGCTACGCAACCCTTCTTTTGTATGCAGAGCCTTGATTTTTGAAGCTTATAAAGCAGTATAAAAATATCTCAATGTACTTCTTAATTAAGTGGGAAAATAAACTTACATCTTATACTTAATATCTCATTGTATTTTTTACACTACCTTTCTCAACACTTCATAGGGGAAACTTATTTTCAGACACATCCTTGTAGTAGAGAAATTTTGTTGTTTCAATTATCGCTCAGCATAGTCTCGTATATAGTTTTTATGCAAGCTTTGTTGAACGCCAAAGTTGTTTTCTGGTAACTATGCTATAGAGTACTTATGCACGTAAATGTGCGATATGTTATGTGAGAGTGATTAAACTCTCTAGTGTAATAATTAGTATTGTATGATTTTGATGATTTTTAATTTTTTGTAATTTTTATTGTGCAGCTTTTATACATATATATATATATTTTAAAGAAGAGTTTTTATGAACATTTCTCAAGCGACGTTAAACTATAAGGAAACTGTACGTTCTGATTTTTTGTAAAAAATAAATTAAAAAGTTATCTTTAAATTTTGTAAAATGTAGAAACTATTGCCATATAACAATTTATAGCATGAATTTTTTCCCTGTAAATGATATTTTGTAATAAAAATATTTTGGATTGATAAACATAATTTTTTTTCCATCTATCTATTGCACAATTTCAATTATTTTCCAAACTTGTTTTTGAATGAATTTTTGAATAATATATCATGATACTTTTTGGGTTATAAATTTTACAGTCATATTTTGTATATACCTGCTAAATTTAAAAGCTGATTTTATTCAGTTTCTTATTGAAAGTGTAACTAAGTTTAAAATTTAATTATAAATATATAATTGCTTATTAACTAAAAACTTTTGTTGTAGCTCTAATGGAAGATTGGGCTTCAAAATTAAGACCAGATATTCTCCATTTTGTGCCCTATACTTGGCACTTTGGCTTAATTCTGAAAGACTTTGAATTGGTCACAGTTGTTAATGAGTACAATTGGATCGACTGCTCAAGTCAGCATCAAGAAAATGGTAAGATCATTTTTTGTTTCAATATGCTCCATGAATTAAATCTAAAATTTCTTAAATAATAATTTTCTAAAAAAAAATAATGAAGTCAACTAAAGTAGTTTTTCGATTTAAATGAAATTTTTTGAAAGTTAGTTACTCTTTGCGATATAAAAAATAACTATTGATTAAAATTATTGTGATTGACTTAATTTTAAGAGTTGAAATTATGCTTTAAATTATCACAATGAAAACTTTCATAAAAAATTCTGAGTTTCAAAAAGATATCAAATTATAATCATAAGATATTCATTTTTCATAACATTAAAAATTATTCACTTCAACTACACAAGAGGGAAAATAGTGATATGCTTATTTTGCTGATAAGGGGAGGGGGAGGAATGTAAAATTAAAATCACTTTACTCTCAACATTTTATTTTTAAAATTCAAAAAAATACACTTCTTGGAACAATTCCAAATAAAAGATAATTCAAATGAAATGGGAAATTTTTTTCCCCAAGAACTATCGAGGAGCTGGGAACTAAATTAAATCAGTATCTTAGCAAATACATCTATTTGTAAAAAATTAATATTAATGTGTCTTTCTATCTTCAAAATTAAAATTTTCTTGTAAAAATAATTATTTTTCTTTCTTTCTGAAATTAATTTATTTTAAAATGTTGTTTGTCATGCCAATTACTTTTCTTAGCCTATTTAGCTGTTTCTGGAGATCAGTTTGAACTGTCATTTGATTTACCTTTCATCGAATATTTACCACCCACTATATCCCTAAAGTTTTGGATTCAGGTAAACATTAGTTACTGATTTAACTAGGTAAATAGATTATTTCTTTGGTTTTTATAAATTTTTATCTAAAAAATTTAATTAGGTATATCCTTTGATGTCCTATTTATAATGTTGAAGAAATAAGATTTTTTCCAATTTGTATAAATTAATAGCACACTGGGTAACAAACAATTATTTTTGTTTTCTGTTGTGATCTGATTTTTTGAAACAGATTTTAGATAATTTCACACATGTTCTTTATAAACTAGTACATTCAGACAAAAAATGAACTTAAATACCATTTTGAGAAAACTGTGACTTTCCAAACAAATTAGTTTCAGACTTGAAATCTAAATTAGTTAAGATCAAGAACTTGGATAATTGCAACAAAAATTTTGTTTTCCAAATGTAATTTATTTTAAGTATCTTCTTTTGATCCCTATTTAACCTTTCCAGTATCACGCTTGTTTGTTTATTTTAACGAAAACTTCTTGACCTGGGTTATTTATTTGTTGAATAATGCTTCCTCAATCGAGGCCAGTCTCATTTTTTTGGGAATTTGTCTTTTAAGGCATGGCAGGAATGCTACCATACCTTGCCCAGAAAAAGGTCAAATTGTTGAGTCAGATGACTTGGATAGTGCCTGAGCTGATACCCCTCGCTCTGAATTTCCACCCTTCACCACCAAGAAGATTTATACACAGACAACTTTAAAATGCATCTTGTTACGCTGCTGTTGCTTTGTTTGTTGTCAGGATCGAATTAAAAAACCTGAGCTTTGCACCAGCATTGCCTTACTCTCACAGTTCCCAATTTTTTCGGTTATGGTATCAGAAATGATCGAGTTTCTTTAGGTGGAACAAAACAAGCTCAGTATTGTAGGAAAAGGTCAATAGCAGCTGTAAATATCCTAACAAAAAGAAACTACTGATNCGCGCTCTTAATTTCCACCCTTCACCACCAAGAAGATTTATACACAGACAACTTTAAAATGCATCTTGTTACGCTGCTGTTGCCTTGTTTGTTGTCAGGATCGAATTCAAAAACCTGAGCTTTGCACCAGCATTGCCTTACTCTCACAGTTCCCAATTTTTTCGGTTATGGTATCTTAAATGATCGAGTTTCTTTAGGAGGAACAAAACAAGCTCAGTATTGTAGGAAAAGGTCAATAGTAGCTGTAAATATGCTAACAAAAAGAAACTACTGATTATTTTGTGTGAAAAATGAAATGCTTTAAGTTATGAATTTCTTCTTAGTATATGCATACACTAAAAATGAGTTAAATAAGCTAGATTATGATTCACAAGAAACAACTGTTATAAACTTTGTGAGAAATGTAGTTATTTATTTTTGATATTGATTATTTTGTTTCGAATTTAAAAGCTTGATTGGAAATACTTATGGAATTTTTGTAAAAACATATCCTTTTCATAATTCATTCAATGTATTATCATTGAAATTGTTTTTTAATTTCTGCTACTTTTTTTTATTGGCATTATATAAAAATTTCTTATAAATAACCGAAACATTAATTGAGTTATGGATTATTTATTGAATAAAAATATAATTGTTGTTAGTTGAGCAACCAGATTATATTTGAAATAAAAAGATGGCTTATTGTTTCGAAATAAAGAATACTGAAATTTTTTTTTTTGAAAATGAGATAATAGTCATATTTTCAACATGTCAAATATTCAACAATATTTTCGATGTAAAATTGGTCAATGGTATTCAATATTTTCAATGTAAAATTTTTTCATTCCTGTACTTATTCAGTTTGAATACAGTTAAATCACTGAAAATTTATAATTTATTAAAAATCAGCTAGTCTTCTGTCAAACTCTGCCCAAAAGTAAAACTTTTATAATGTATTTTCAATAGCTAATTGAAAACATATTATAAAACTTTTGCTTTTAGACAGATTTTGACATAAAATAAGCTGATTTATAAAAAATTTTCAATAGATGATTGAAATAATAAATTAAAAATATTTAATTGATGAAAAAAACTTTTGTTACTCGCTATTAGGTTTTAAGTGAAATTTCTAAATTATACAAATCTTTGTCAATAGATTAGTATTAGTTTTCAGTTTTAACAAAAATTTAAGAAATAAAATCACATTAATTTGCTGATAAAAGATTTAATAAGTACAATTTATTTTTTAATGCTGCCCCTCCTTACTGAATAAAATTTATATTCGAACATTCAAATTAAATAATATGTGTTCTGGAGTATGATACATCCTTTCACTTTTTAAGACTGAAATTTAATCTCTTAATTCCTGGATTATGATACATCCGTTCACTTTTTAAGACTGAAATTTAATCTCTTAATTCAATGTAATTAACATATATATATATGTAACTGAAAATTTTTATAATTAAGACAAAATTAGTTCATTCTGTCTAAAACTTATTTTAAATTTAACTTTCAAACAAGTATGAAAGAAAATTTTTTAGGAAAATATTTGTGCTAGCATCTTTGCAAAAATTGTTGAAAAAATATTAAATTTCACAGATTTTAATTTATTTTCATTTAGATCTAAATAGTAATAGTGTAATGTAGCATTTATTTTAATTTTTTCTTAGGGAGAGAGCTGTGATATGGTTTTCTACTTACCAGAAGTGAATTCTAATCGTGATATAATATTGATGCTTGAAAAATGTGCCAAGTTGACGGGAAGAGATGGTTCACCAAGTCTTCAAGATAACTCACCAAAACGATGGAGAAATATGGCAAAGCCAAGGTGATTTTGTTAATTTTAAAAGTATATTTATATTTTCTTTTCTTAAAATGAGATTTATTGACTGATTAACAAATTCTAAATGCTAGGAATAGTTGAGAATTTTCTGTACATCTGGTTATTTAAAATAAAAACTATCAAAATACTTTTTCTACTATGAGTTTTTTTAAATTTTTTTTAACTAAGTTCATTGTTGACTAAAATATTCTGGATTAATGCAGTTTGTTTCTCAACAATAGTCCTTTAAAATGTTTCTCATTGAATCCCTTTAAAATATTTCTCATCTCTCGCAGACATTATTTTGAACTATGAAAAAAAAATTTAAGCTATTTTCTGATAATTTTGTTTGTACTTTATGAAAGAAAAAACTCCTTTATTTGTTGTGGAATATTATAGAATATTTGTTTTCCGAGTTTCATGAAAAGAACTGCATGCTGTTTTAAACAAATTTTACATTATGTTCATTTGCTGAAACTTAAGTAGACTGATTCAATTTTTCAATTGATTTGCAGTATTTAAAGCATTTTTACAAATATGGCAAACAACTGCCGTTATAATCTTTATCTTATTCATTGTTAAAGAACAATGGCACATTTTAAGATAATTAAAAATAAGTAGGCTTAGGTTTCAAAATAAGAAATATAGTAACAGTTTAACAAGCTAAAAAGTTAATGTAATATAGAAGTGTTTTCTGTATTAATATCCTTAATCATGTATTTTTTTGGGTCTCCAGCATATTGTTTTCTTATCTAATAACATGTAAGCTAAGCTCAATACAGCTATAGCTAAAATTTTCAAGACTGCTATTACTAAATGTGTATATTAAAAGAAATTAAGCAGATATAGTTACAGTTAGTCTGTTTCAAATGTAGAGACACATATCTCTCATTTGGTGAAATAATGACGTAACTGATAATTACTCGATTTAGGTTGATTTTACAGTTACATCATTTTCCCCAATAGAAGAAATAATTATAGGCTTATTAGGGGGTCCGACTCAGCCTTTCATCCCTTCAGTGGGTCGATAAAATGAGTACCAAGCATGCTTGGGAACTAACACTGGGGGTTCCGCGTTCGGCTGACCACCTGACCGGAACATATGCTCCTGCACCCCAGAGCCCAAGGTCAAGAAAACTGAGATGGGCACAGTCGGCCTTGGCCCTCTTAATGGGCTGTCGCGCCACTGAGTTAGTTAGTTAGTAGTATTAGGGGGTACACAATGTGGCCCTATGGGTTACAATGTAAATATATATTGCTCAGTTGGTGAAATAATGACGTAACTGATAATTACTCGATTTAGGTTGATTTTGCCGTTACGTCATTGTTTCACCAAATGAGCGATATATGCATTTCTGTATTTGAGAAAGACTCTAGGGACACAAGGAGTAGAATCTCTTCAATGGTTTGCGTATCGTCAGTATGTTGACTAAAAAAATTGATAAATTATTTTGTAATTTTCTTTCTTTTTTTTGAACTTTTAGTGCTGGTTGGGTTGATTGTTGGTCAGTGCCTATTGTTGCCCTGAGTATTGGTTATATTTACCACCCAACACCACCATGTGGTGCTTCCTGCTTAGATTTAAACATAACCACCCCCGAGAAAGAAGAAATACTTTTATCACCAATTAGACCAAATGGATCTCAAAACAGAAAGAAAAAGATGTGTAATTCTTCAGAATTTGATCCCACATCCTTAGCTCCGGACATTGTTCATCTTGAATTAGAGATAGGACCATCAGTTTTAAAATTATATGGCTCTTTACTTCGACATCTTATTCATCTAAAGGTAAAGTAATCTCATTGATATTAAAATTTCTGAATCTTTGCCAATTGTACCTAGAATTTAATAAATTAATTTGATTAAAGACTCACTTTCTAGAGTTAAATTGTTCTAGCTAAAAGATATATACTAAACAGTTATGAATTTCTAAGGAAATAAAATTGACTACACTGATGAGTGTAGTATTAGCTATAATTTTATTACAAAACTTATTAATGAAAATAACATTCTGCTATTAAATTGAAATTTTTTATATTGAAACTATTTTAATTATTAAAAAAAATATATCTTATATTGTAAAGAATCTTATTTATTGATTGATGTTTTTATTTATCTTTATTATTCAGGAAAATTATTTCGGAGAAAATCAAAAATTTTTTGAGTTTGATGCTCCAATTATAACTCCAAATCAAGTTTCAACAGCAGCTCCCAATGAAAAAGATAATTACGAATTTGATCCTCGTCAATTTCGACCATTAGACATAACTGTGTCTGTTATAATGCATGACATACAGGGTCATATAATGAAGGTAGGTTTCATATTTATAATATTTTCTTTTTGGTTTCATTTAGATTTTAAATGTAATGTTTATAAGCAAATTATATTCTGTTATCCTTACGATCTTAACTAATTCTTATTTTATTGTGAGAGGAATAAACTTCATTTTCATGTTGCAAAAAGTCCACCTGCACATTATGAATTACCTAAATCTACTAAAAATAATTAATTTACCGTGTTTCATCCTGAGAATTCTTGTTCTGTATTATCTCTGAAAAATTGATAAATCCATTTTTCTTTTACAAATTCTAAAAGACTTGCAAAATTTTCAGAAAGTGTTTAGGTAAGTTTTAGACAAACCTTACTTAACACAAAATCAGCATAAGAATTTTTTTTCAGAAAGGAATAAAATTATTAGCTGGTTATTTTTTTAATAAATGTAGTTAGAAATTGGTAGGTAAATACATTCTTTTGACACACCACATACCATCCAGACATGGCCAAGCACTTAGCCCCATTTTTCATGTATATCTTTTCGCAATCACAGGAGTAAAGCCACATAATTTTTGCCCCTGTCCGACAGTGGGGGCAACACCTGAGTTGGTACCCTCTCTTTACAAACTTTCACACCACAATCAAGGCGAGGACTTTCAGCCATGGCAGATTTAATGGCACATTGATGTGTATACACAACAGTTGTTTAGTCGGCTTCTAGTATCGAATTCCCAGCCTCCATCAGTGGAATGGGTGATCCCTTTACCATTTGCGCCACTGGAGCGCACTTTTTTGACAGCTTTTGCATCTCCTATTTTGTACTAATAGTGTGCGATTTATTTTTAAAAATATGTTTTATTTTATCCTGCATTGGCTAAGAGTTCATGGACCATAAGTACCTGCAAGCAACCCTGCACAATATTGAAATTTAGCAATAAAAAAAATGTTTATCATTTTTCACAAAGCTTAATTTCATGTTAAAAATAATCCCAAATTGTTAAAAGAACTGTTCTATGTATTCCTGTTATTCTGTATTCCTAATACATTCCCTAGGCTCTAAATTTTCAGCTTTTTTTTTTCTTCCTTTGTTCACCAAATTTTAATGAGCATAGAATTTTCGTTTTTAACAATTACAGCGTGTATAAATGTAATTTGTTACTGTTTCATGTTTACTTAAAATTATTATCTGTTCATATTTCCAGTGCTGTAATGACAACGATCCACCATGTCCTAGCTTATACTTAGAGAGGTTTGCATTTGAGATGTTCAAAACTTATGAAGAAACCAAACTACAGTTGCTTCTTTCTCCTTTAGTTCTTAGCACAGTGGATACTGCTGTACGGCCCGACTGCCATTCTCATTTAAAAGATGGTCATGTAGTTTTATCGACTCTTCAAGTAAATCTTTAAGCACGAAAGCGTTCTTTCAATTCATAATTATTTTATATTGCTTGACTGTAATAGTACTAATAAGAGTATTTTTTTTAAAGGTTCGTGGCAATGCTATGTTTTCTGGTGTTGACAGACCCTTGGAGAGTGAAACTCTTGAGTATGCATGGCTTGTAGAAGTACTAATTGGAGATGTAACTGGACGGCTTACTATACCTCAGGTAATTTTAGTTAAGTTGCATGATTAAGAATAACAGGTTACTTGATTTGTTTAAAAATTTTTGCCGACTTTAACATTACCTGCAACTGGAGTTTGGTTCCACTCAGGCTGAAAAGAGATTATATTTTTCCATGCTAACCGACAAAAAATTAAATGAACATTTTTAAAGAACTAATTACCATTTTTGTTCCCTTTTATTGTTAAAAATGTGGTCTGCTGATCCCACTTACCAAATTTTTGAGGTTGTAAGTATTTTTAAAACTACCTCTTTAAAAATACTTAAAATTTGAAATATGGTTACTTGCTCCAACAGAATATATTTTTTAATGCATAAAATGAAGCAAAAAATATTCATTAGTTACTTAATAAGTAAGGAATTCATGTTCTTAACACAAAGGAAGCAAAATCCTGTTACCAACTGAAAACTTAAGATCCAAATTAAGTTATTGCTTGTTTTCTTTAATTGTAAGATAAAAATTCTTGAAAAAAAATGAGTTAGTTCAGCAGTTCCAAAATGGAAATGGTGTTTCATGGAACCCTAGGGTTCTGTGAAAGAGTTAAAAAGGTTCTGAGAGTAAAGACTTTTTTTTAAACAGTTTTTATATACAGTGAAACCTCCGTTAAGCGGACATTCATGGGACCAAAAAATTTGTCCGTTTATGAGAGTTGTCCGTTTACGGGAAGGGTACCCTAATAACGAAATTTAACACCGTAAATTGTTTTTAGAATATTCTCAAAGATGTAGAAATAATTAAATAATATCTACAAGGATACTGTAAATATCTACAAGAATATTTATTTAAACAATAAGAAAGATAAAAAAGAATATATAAAGAAGTTTGATATAAATACATAATTCTGGATGTAGCTACAGATAAATAAATATAATTTTCCTATTAGCATAGATACTCAAGTTAGACATATGATACCAAATAGGAGCGTACTGT